CCTTGTTACCTTAACTTGGGAAATATCATGCAGTGGCTAAGAGCTTGGGTTTTGAGCCAGATCGCCAGATTTTGAGTCCTGGTTATGTGTCCATGGACATGTTAGCTAGCACTCTGTGGCGGAGTTTCTTCATCGAAATATGGGGATAATAGTAGTATTTTCCTTATAGGGGTCAGTGAGAAATGAATGATTGATAAATATAAACTTATGCAGTTGCTGGCACTTACTAAGCATAAAATAAATGCTGGCTATATTAGTATTATTTAACTGTTTGTTCATTGTCTTTCTCCCCTCAGTAAGCTCTGTGACAGCAAGAAAGTTGTCTCACTTGTTTCCCACTGTAATATCAGGAGTTAGAACAGTTCCTGAGCTAGAGTAGGCACTCGCGTATTTGTTGCTAAATGAATAATAGTTAAAATTTAATTCCCATTTTTTTGTAACCTTCTTGGAAATCTGAGACTAAAAGAATGCTTTCTCATATACATAATATGCAGTTATCAAATTCAACAGATATTTTCATCAAATTTGGCATCTAAATATGAATACCTACTATTAACATGTATCTTGGAAGTTTTGATCAATTATTACAACCTAAAACAGAACTCAGAAATTATTCCTTTCAGAAAAAGGATAGAAATACCATATTTTTGACACAATTATATATCCATGGAATCCAAAAGGATCATCTAAAATTTAAAAAAAATTGTTGAGAGTTTAGTAAATGATAAGATTTGAGCTAACATAAAGAGATTATTTTCTAGCATACCAGTAATTACCATTTAAGGCCATACTCGAAGAAAAGTATTACTTTACAAGAGCAGCAAAAATAATGTAAAATACCTAGCAGTATCCCAGAGAAATATGTGGAATTTATATTTTCATAAAGAAAATTTAAAATCTTTACTGAGAGTTATAAAAGGTTTAGAATAATGAAGACATGCTCTATTTCCAGGTGGAGATATTCAATATTGTAGAAATTAAAATTCGTCCAAATATATAAATGTAATTAATATTAGTACATTAATAATATATAAATGCATGTTAAGTGATTGTAAACCAAACTCATTTGTATTTGTTTGTAAAGCTTGTCAAAATTATTTTAAAGTTTATGTAGAAAATGTTTGAAAGTGAACAGAAATGGTTTGATGGCCACTCTTTAACAAAGATTCATAACACACTGTCTTCTAGCAACTAGGATAGAATAAAATCGTGCAAGTTCAATAACTTTTCATATAGTAATATTATGATATGTGTGACATATTTCTGAAGTTACCCCAGTGTGTTAAAAATGTCTCTAGCTGGTAAGGAAGCACATCATTTAATTTTTTTTACAGCACTTAATTTAATAGCAAGGAATCTCAGTTAAGAGAGAGGTTGTAGTTTACCCAGAATTTCAGAGCATGTCAGAGATAGCATCAAAGTTATACTGATGGTTTTAAGTAAATTTTAATAATTGATATAGAAAAAATAAATTTCCCATTAAATCTGCATGCAGTCTAGGATGACTATTTTGTCCCATTTTGCGCAGGACTTTCTTGGTTGTAGCACTTAGTCTCCTGTCTCAATAAGCCTCTCAGTTATGGCCAAGCCAGTTACAGGTATTCGCCCTCGTACAGCTAATTATTGGGTTGTCGGAAAAGTCATGACGCATGTTTGCAACAGATGGCACTAGTCCATTTTTGGAAGTATTAGAGTCATTCACATCTATGTTATTGCTATATCATTTGACAGCTGACAGTTCTAGCTTCATTCTAAAAAAAAATTGAATGATTTGTTGAGTTTTGGAGATTTTACAGCAAGTTGAAGATGAAAGACCAAACTGCATTTTCACCGTATTTTACTGTTTTACATCCATAAAGGGAAGAATGCGTGTTAAGCTTGTGAAAAGTTTCATTAAAAAGTTACAGTGACAATGCTCTACAAGAAAGAACATCAGTGCCAACAATGGTTCACGAAATTCCGTGCTGGTGATTTTGATCTCAACGCTGTTAGGGAGACCCACCGAGGTTGATGACAACAAAATAAAGGCATTGATGGAGTCAAACCCATGTTACATGACACGAGAGATTGCAGAAACATTGAACATCCATCATTCAAGCTTTCACGACCACCTGAAGAAGCTGGGATACATAAGCAAGCTCGATATTTGGGTTCTGCATGAACGCAAAGTAGTTCATTTGATGGCGCCTATAAACATCTGCAATATGCTCATTAAACGTGAGGAAAACGATCCTTTTTTGAAGCAACTGATAACTGGTGATGAGAAATGGATTGTTTACAACAATGTGGTGCGCAAACGATCTTGGTCCCGACCTGATGATTCGCTTCAAACGACATTGAAAGCAGACATTCATCAGAGGAAGGTTATGCTGTCAGTGTGGTGGGATTTTAAAGGTGTTGTGTTTTTCGAGCTCCTACCAAGGAACCAAACAATCAATTTGAGTGTGTGCTGTCGGCAATTGGACCGTTTGAATGAATCCATCATCCAGAAAGGTCCAGAGCTTGTTAATTGTAAAGGAGCTGTGTTCCATCGCGACAACGCAAGACCACACACAAGTTTGATCACCCATCAAAAATTATTGGAGCTTGGATGGGATGTGTTGCCACACCCACCATACTCGCCTGACCTTGCGCTGTCAGACTTCCACTTGTTTTTGCTCCTTGCATGGCATAACGTTCAATTCAGATGAGGCTGTAAATCAGCACCTCGTTCAGTTTTTTGCAAATAAAGACAGGTCCTTCTATGAACAAGGAATTATGAAGCTCACTGAAAGATGGCAAAAGGTTATCGAACAAAACGGGCAATATATTATTGATTGATCTTTGTTCTTTATATAAACAAATGACATTTGTAAAACATAGACAAAATACGTCATGACTTTTCCGACAACCCAATAAAAAGATGCTTATGTCTGCAAATAGTATCTCCTATAAAATGAAATGGGCGGGAAACGTCTGGTCTGATCTGGAGTAATCCACCTAGTGGTCCCTCTAGGCCATAAGTTTCTCTCATCATACAGAGTTTGTACAGGAGGCTTCATCCGTTCAGGGGTTTTAAGATTAGGGTTTACTCAATCTATAATAGGATTCAGTAAGACTCCCAGTAATCATCTACAAACTGAGCAGGGTTGAGACCATATGGCTTAGCCTTCTATCCAGCAATTAATCTCTGAGCTTCTGATATTTGTTGTGTTGACTTTTAGAGCTAATTTTCCTTGCAGGCTGCACTTATCAACAAGTCATTTTTCTAGAGGTTTGTTTGCTTTCAATTCCTTTGTTTTCTTTCTAATATGTCAATCGGTGGAAATATTTTGTTATTATTAATTTATCTCTTGCCTTGATCTACAAAAGATTTAAGGTGATATATTTAATATACTCTAGATGAATGTTAATAGAAGATCTAATGCTTTTTTATGTGTGTCTTGTATTTGTATAACAATTAGTTGGACAAGTGTGTTCTGTATCATAATGGCATTGTCCTCTTATAAAAAGAGTTGTTTCTTTTTTCTGTTTTACTTTTTAGATTACAAATGCCATGAAAATTTCTAGCCATGAAGTAAGTTATTTAAGAAATTGGCTAGAAAGGCAAACCACATTTACACTGTATTAAGTCTCAGTTATTATGATGCTCTTCCACAGCAACATATTAGAATAAAACTCAGGTGCCAGTCATAATCTGTAGCATCCATAGGCATGCATTGGGAAGATGACTGGTTTATTAAGCTTGATTTAAAAGTCACACATTACAGTACCGTATTTGCCGGCGTATAAGACGACTGGGCGTATAAGACGACCCCCTAACATTTCCACTCAAAATACAGAGTTTGTTATATACTCGCCGTATAAGACTACCCCCTCTTCCGCACACCTTCCACACACCAAATAAAAGGTAAAACAATATCAGATTTGATTTGGCCCACTGAAGTGCAAACAAGCGTATTGTATTTCGTGTCACCACATAACCGTTTTGGCGATGTTGAGCCACCATGTCTGCTACATGTTTTTCGAGTTCTGGCCAGTGTGGGGTGCCTCTTCTTAATGCACACTTACCCCTTGGCATACTCTTTAATGCTTTCTCATTTGATTTCCAGTCCCGAACCATCTTTTCTGTTACTCCATATTGTCTTGCAGCAGCACAATTATTATTTTCCTTAGCAAAGTTTATAACTTTCAGTTTAAAATTTGCATCATACTTCTTTCTTTTGGCTGGTGCCATGATAGGGATGATAGGGGTTTGACTGGTCGACATTTTCTATGCTGTACTGTACAATGGTGCAGTATTGTGGTTGGCTGTTGGCAGTATACAAAGCCTGATTTGATTGGTACCTGCTCCCTGTTTGCCCGCCCTGTCACTATAGCAGTCTGGTCCACCCTTGCATCAGCATCTCCCTGGGACCTCACTAGTGCGCAAGTGCGAGCTCTTCAACATTCTAACAGGCACCATGATAGCGCAAAATCGCGAATCTTCAATGCATATGTAAAGAAATATACGGTAACCCGAATTTACCACACTCGCAAAATCGCACACAGCCGAGCATACACCCAGCAGCGCTGCTGATGCCTGAACGGTATGTGGAATGAAGTGGGCGTGCATCGGGAGGCCATTATGGCACGGGGCAAGCACTATGGGCAGTCTATCTGAAGTGTACCTGGCGTATAAGACGACCCCCCACTTGGAGGCATATTTTTCAGGGCCAAAAAATCGTCTTATACGCCGGCAAATACGGTACTTAAATTTGCTCACAATCCCATCAAGTAAGATCACAGACTGGTGAGAAGAAAGTGCAAAAATATGATATTATTTATAAGTCATGAATACTTGATTTGTAAAATAACTTTACTAAACTTCAGTTGAACATTTTCTGCAGAATATAAAGTGTTCTTTTTAATTGATGATTTTGCAGTACACCTGTCAAGATCTCCATTTTTCTTTCACGCTAAGTAAAAGTGTAACCTCTTACCACAACTAATGTATTTCTCTCTTTATTATTATTTTTTAGTGTCTAAAAAGCACGGCAAGCTCATTACTTTCTTACGCACATTCATGAAGTCTCGTCCAACAAAACAGAAGCTGAAGCAGCGGGGGATCTTGAAAGAGAGGGTGTTTGGTTGTGACCTGGGGGAGCACCTTCTGAATTCTGGTTTTGAAGGTAAAAATAAAATTTATAATCTTATGATTTCAGCTTCTGACTTCTCCATATTGACTTTCTATAATCAATAACACAGTAGATTAGGCAAATAATATCTGTTCCATTTAAATTCAGCAGCATGCATTGAACATTCTCAGGTACTTATCTTAGTAGTTCTGGAGATAGAATGAACTTTGACATCAGAAATAATAGCTGAGATTAAAGAGAGGTCTAAGAATGAGCTTTGACATCAGAAATACTTCTGATCTTTTTAGGAAGAGTAAAACATTCACACAAAGGGTACAATAGTACTGTTAATTTGCATTATTTTTATATCTGTCCAGACAGCTTCCTTAGCCAGTTTTCCCTCTCACATGTTATTCTAAAATATTTTAATTTCTTTTTTGAAGAAAACAGTCATAGTTTTGAGACTATAAAGTACCAAGACCAGTCTCCCAATGCTTTTAGCTAAAAATTTAAATTCTTTTCTTTATAAATGGAATTCTGACTCAAGAATTCAGAGGTTAGCTGAAGGGATAGGAGGGGATAGGAAGAAAGGTTAAATGGGGTTTTTCTTTGATTTTTTTAAGATAGTGTTTTCCTCCACCAGTTCCTTTAGAGGTGCTAAACTATTAAAGAAGTGCCTGGAGTATCTATAATGTTGATAGATACCAGAAATAGATGATTTGTGAAATTTTGAATCCTGCTCAGAAATACCCCTTGTACTTTTTAAGACCACTGATGAAAACTAGTGTAAAATACCAATAAATATCAAGTTTAAATTAAGGCCTTACTCATTGCTTAAAGATTACCAATGTACTTATAATATGAATTTAGTCCAAACTATGTCATGTTCTTTTAGAGAAGACAGAATATTATTTTAAATGGGTGTTATTCCCAAGTTAATATCAACTTATTACAGTTACTAAAAACAAACAAAAAACAGCGACAAACAAAAAACCTGAGGATTATTTTTGTAATTAGTCGAATGCATATGGAAAGAAAGGAGAATATCAAGCGTGTTGTAGAGGGAAAAAATTCAATAATGGATAGGGGACATCTAGCTTTACCAAAGAGTGAAACACTATTCAAAACTAGAATGTTATTAGTGTAGAGAATGAGGTATGAATGAAACGGCTTAAAATGTTCAGAATTAGTCATTACTGTAGATAAGAATTCACTATTATAAAGTATGGTTTTAAAACCAGGTCATGAAGAAGGATTACTTATTAAATAAATATTAAGAGAATGAAATGGCAATTTTGAAAAAAATTCTCACATTATGACACTGAAAATCCCAAATGTATAAAAAAGTTAACTATTTTAAACTCATAGAAATGCTAATATGATAAGATTTTGTTTTGAGGTCAAAGAGGAATAATAGTTTTCTTATATAAAGAAACAAAGGAAGGGCCAGCCGAGTGGCTCAGTTGATTAAGAGTTAGCTTAAGAGTGTGAGTTCCGAACAACAGGGCCACCAGTTCGATTCCAGTGACCAGGCCAGTGATGGGCCAGTGACGCTGTGCCTGAGCTGAGGTGCCCCTGAGCTGCCAACAGGTGGCAGAATGGTTCAGCTGATGAGAGCATGTGCTCCTAACAACAAGACTGCCAGTTCGATGATGGGCTACGCCTGCCCGCAACTAAGACTGAACTTGGCATCTTGAGCTAAGCTGCCACCCAGATGGATCAATGGATAGAGCTCGCACTCTTAACAAGGCTGCTGGTTCGAATCCCACATGGGGTGATGGCTATGCCCACCCGCAACTAAGACTGTAACACACACAGCACCTTGAGCTTAGAGGCCATGAGCTGCTGACAGGGAGCCAGATGGCAACTGGCGCCCTCCACAACTAAGACTGAAGAACAACAACTTGGCTGGTCCCCTTCCCCAATTCCCCAACACTGATCCCCTCCCTCAATTTCCTTTTTTTTTTTGAAGCTGAGCCATCCTGCTACCTGTTGGCAGCTCAGCGACTGCTCAGCTTGGGCCGGGACTCGAACTGCTGTTGCTCAGAGCTCAAACTCTTTTTTTTTTTTTTAAAGATTTTTTTTATTGGGGAATTGGGGGGAT